AGGCGACTGTTGTTGTGATTTGGTGCTGTGTAAATAAAACTGAATTGAACCATTGCGACTTCGCCATACTGGTCCACTTGATTGTCATAGTTTGTTCGATCTTTACTATTATATATTTTTCTACTTTAAGTTGTTGCAATCAGAAGGAACAGGACAAGGAACGAGAAAGAGGAAGAAAAGTTGGGAAGAGACTCAACAAAAGGAGAAGGAAAGAAAACCACAGAAGAAGAGAGACGAGAGAAAAGACCACAGGTGTCCAACTCCAGGCCTCGAGGGCCGGTGTCCTGCAGGTTTTCTATGTGTCCTTGAGCCAACACAGCAGATTCAAATGGCTAAATGACCTCCTCAACATGGCCTGAAGTTCTCCAGAGGGGAGAACCTCAGGCCCAACAGAGCCAGAGTGGCCAGGCCCGCCAAGCAGCCGCCAGGAGTGAGGCAGTACACACCTGAGCACCCAGCCCCAGACACCAAGAACCACCAACGGGTGGGAGCATCAGCCACCTGCAGGGAGTGTGGTGGGGGTAGATAGGGGGGGGGCTGAGATGTTCCCAGAAAGGTGGAGTCTAAGACCCGACCTGACACATAAACAGAGACGCACAGAGACTTGAAAACAGAGGTTTCACACCAGGCACAGCCTCAGAGTCCAGATATGTATTTTTCCAGAAGTTACAGTCCAGGAAGTTCTCCTTCTCAGATGCTTTTCAAGATAAAAGTCTTTTAAAGGACAGAGCTTCTTCAGAGGTGATGTTCAAAGCGAGAGCAGGTTCAAGTTTCCGGCTCAGAGTTAGTTTATTGGAAACTGGGTCAAACGTGTTCGTCAGCAGCCGCGTGCAGAAAGCCGTCACTGCACCAGATGGATCAGCTGCACAGAGGGAGCGTTTATCTCACCGGGAAAGTCTAAATGATTCATTTATTTATGCATCTATGAAGATGGATGGGCACATATTTCAGTGAGCTAACACAGATATGAACTCTCACTGTGTGGTCGTATCTTTGTGTTTCCTTGTTTTTATTGTTCTTCAAATATGATAAATGTGTATTTTTATCATAAACTTTGTGACGGCCACACAAACTTTAGTTTAACGTGATGTTTTTATCAGTGGTCTAATCAGTAACATCCAATCAAAGACGCCGAGCTAGCAGCTACTGCTACCTGCGTGAGAGGCCACGCCTCTCTTTTACTGCCTGCTTTTATTTTTCAATCCTGGAAGATTTTTGTTAAAGAGAACATCAAATGTGAGCATCACTGTTGCAAAAAGGAGGAAACCTTTTCATGCGCAGCTTCTTTTCGGTGCATGTTTTTATTTCCTCCTCTCAGAAGCTGCACTCTGATTGGCTGGTTGCTCGAGGACTATATTTCCTGTTACACAGAGCCTGAAAAAGGAAGTGGAGCTGTGAGTCAAGACAGTCAGCTGTCTGCCATCGCGCTGCTATTTATACCCACGGCTTCAACGTGACGGAGCAAAGCAGCAGGAGAAGAAGAAATGGCCGTCGGTCTGTAATGAGCCCTCAGCTGTGCCGCGGCGTTGTCATGGCGGCAGCATGCTGCCACACCTCCTGACCCTGACCCGGTCCTGCTCATCATTCAGACAAACATCAGCACGATTGCGGTGCTTCAGCTCACCTCTTTAGTCTTCCACTCTCCTAAAGCAGCTTTGCATGATTCACACATCAAACTAATCCTTCTGTGTCTCTTAGAGGCCTGGTGAAGCCTCCGCTCTGTCTGCTGATCGGCAACTTTAGGAAGCCTGCAGAGGGGCAGGGCCCAGCGCTAACATACATATACTTTTTAGCAAACACTGAGAAACAAAACAAAAAGTATAAAAGTACTCCCAAAAGTATTCTTAAAATGAAAGTAAATATTAGATTTTTATATTCAACAAATGTTTCATATTTTCATTTTCAGCAGACACGCTCTGATGATGTGTTCGGTGTAAAACCTGTAAAATGTAGCCAGCACTGTCATAACCACAAATGTAACTAAATAACATAAAACATGAGGAAATTCATTAAAAGCTTGTTTGTATTTGTTCAGCTGCTTTGTAAACGAGTCAGTGGAGTGTGCACGGCGTAAAGACGACAGCCTCGTGCCTGACGACCCACGCGGGGTTTGAACCCAGTACGAGGGACCGACAGCGACCTCTGACCTGAGGACCCGAGTGCTCGGGAAGAAGCAGGAGGCCTCAGCAGGTCAGAGATCAGCTGGGGAGCTTCACCGCGCAGAGCTCGAAAAGCTCAAACTAACATTTTACATGAAACCTCAAATTTACCAACGACCGACGAGGAGAAGCCAAATCTGGAGCAACATGTGACCTCCTGTTAGTGCCGCAGCGTCGTGTGCAGTCTGAAGGCGATCCAACGCTGACTGGTTGAAACCAGTAAAAAGACGTTACAGAAGAAGTCAAAGCATGAAGAATCACCTCAGCCTCTGACACCAGCACAGGTTACAGAGGTTTGAACCGTGACTCTCACACAGACTCAGCTCTCAGATACAACGCCCACATTTGTGACGGAGGAGCCTAAAGAACAGATCATGTGATGGCGAGCAATAGTTTCTGTTTTATCCGTGTTTAACTGGACGACGTTACATAGAAACCAGTAGAACCAACCACCTCGCCCTGCAGGCTGTTAAGCTGCAGGCAGACTCGTGGGATTAAGACTAGACTGTAATAAGATGTGTGGAACATCTGTTTTAAGTTTTCTGCAGGTTGTTAACTGGCTTGTGGTGTAACTACAGAGTGACAGCTCACACACTGTTGTGCTAATCAGCTGCTGTTCTGGTGGTACAGTCCTGCAGTCTGTGGTCTTAAACTAACAGCAGAGAGACATCATCACATGACCAACGGTTCATTTAAAAAGCTCTGGCGCTAACATTGAGGCCGCAGGACAACGATGGTGCTTGTAGCGCAGCAGCGAGCGTGGCATTGAATAGATGTCGGGGTTAGGCTCACAGGCATCGGGCTGTTTGCTGCGCTGGTGCTCAGACGCGTTGTTTCCCTTAACACTGTTATCCCTGTTACACTAGTGTCTGAGCCTAGATCACATGAAGATGCTGGTGAATCGCGAGCAGTGAGAGGAGACATGAAGCAGGGTGTCATCAGCATAGCCATGGAGCGAGATGATGGAGGCGCTTTCAAAGGGCCCTAAACTGATCCCTGAGGGACGCAGCATGACCCAGCACCAGGACTCCAACAGGCCACATGAGGAACAGGAGGCGGTTCTTGAACACTGAGCCTCTGTCAGTTACAGAGAGCAGCAGCATTAGAAGAGAAGGGAGAAGTTATCTCAGGTCGGCAGGAAGACGATGTTACAACACCAGCGCTGAAACAGTTTGCGGGTGAACATAAACTTCTTTTCTTAAAAGTGACGACTTACGAGAAACAGGAACCGCGTCCTCGCCAGCCTGAGGCCCGCCTGCAGCCAGTATATATGTACACATGATCGCACGAGTACAGACACACACCTAAACACACCTGCACAGTCTGAGGTTGACCTCTGACCTGTCTGTTGTCTCTGAGCACTTTTTACAATCACTGTGACATCACACCTTCATTCAGGTGCCTACCAACCATCCCGAGGTCAGGGGTCGGTTTGTCACAGAGCCACCACCCTGATTAAGCTCAAAATGAGAGCCGTCACATGACCGTGGCCGTTTGGAGGTTCATAAAAACTCCCGAACAGTCAAAACGATGTTTTCAGACAATGAAATGAATCCAGTGAAATCTATGAACGTTTTCAAAGTAAAGGATGGACGACATCTTCCTGTTTCTAGCACAGCTTCACGTCCGAATGGACCCAAACCATAAACATGACCTTTGGTTTGGAAATGATGTTCCTCTTAGAGTCACGGAGGACCAGGAAGCAGGGGCAGGCGCAGGCCTGGCTAGCGAGCGTCAGACCCAGCCACGGTCGGCCCGTTTCGATCCCAAGCACATTTTCGATGTCTGACACTGAGGTATTCCAAAAGTTTTCCGATTAGATGACACGATCCACTGGGTGATGTAGTTGTGATTTACACAGACGTTATTACAGATTCAGCTGAAGCAGCAATGTCAGCGTCATCCTGCTCTTTACTCTGATTGGTCTGTAACAGACCACTGTGGGCGAGGTTGTCTCACAGTTTCCTGTGACTGTGAGAGCCAAGTGTGTGTGTGCGTGTGTGTGTG